ATTTATGTGCGGACAGTCACCCATATCCATCCAGGTTACTATCCATGTGTAGCTGAGCGTGAGGGAGAGGAATGAAGCAATGTTTGTAAGGAAGAAGTGAGCCACACCTGGCTTTCCTTTAAGGGAAAAAAAGAAAATCTTACTACTCACAAGAAAAAGGAGCTGTAGAGCAATGCCAAATCAGCACCTTACCTCAAGCATGTAGCTACTTAATGCATTTGCTCCTTGGTATTGCCTTTAAGCTCTTCGGTTTCCCCAGTCCAACCTCTTGGAAATGGTAGAGTGAAACCTTTTTCACAGCTGACCTCTGTGAAGTACCCTGGAGGCAGCATCTCATCTGAAAGAAAGGTGAGATTGGGATGTAGTTTTTAAAGAATTTACAACTGGCTAAATTAAGAGCTCTGAAGTTAGAGTATGCTGTTTATCCTCAGAGAAGCTAAAGTAGGGGCAGCATTTATGTCTTTTCTGCAAAATTTAGTTCAGCAGCAATAAAGCAAGTTCTGTTAAATAGCTAATAAATATTTCTGAAGGCCACTTTTGGGGGCTTTGTATAAAATACAGTGTTAAAATACAAGGCTGTAGCTAAGGAAAAAAGGAAAATAAAATTCCATGCTGAAATTCTGCACAGTGAAATCCTTTGTGTAGTGGTGTGCACACTTCATGGATAAAGGAAGAGACAAATCCATATATGCTTGCAGACTCCTTTGATAAAAAAGATAGGAAGATCACAGCTGCCTACCTAAACCACTTGCAATAAGCTTTGGGGACAGAATCTAGGAACTACAGCTCTCAAACCCTTTTTATCCATTATGCCATCCAAGCGTGAATTTCCTTCACCTTCTGTACTGAATGACATCAGTTTGTAGCTTCTTACAAGCTAGTTTTTGGGTGAAGACCTGTCCTAAGAACCAGTTTGGATCTTACTGTCCCCAGCAGAGGGCACTGATATGCACTTGCAGCATTAAATGTATGTTTAAGGGTTTGTTTTTTTTATCAAATGCTTCTTCAAAAACATTAATTAGAATACTAAATGCTTTATTACTGTTAATATAATAAGGGCATGTTTGGTATTATAAAAGCTATTATTTCTAGGCTTTTCTGTCACTCATAATTAGTTTCTCTTACTGGCTAATGTTGTAAGTGAATTTCCTGAAAAAAAATTGTGTTAGTGTGTTAGTGCTCTTGTCTCTTTTGCTGCCTAAAATACATAGGTTTTTTTTCATCAACACAATTTTGAAGGCGAATCATTTGAGCATAAATAACTTTAATCAAATAGATTGTCTTGCTAAAATCAATACTGAAACATTGATTATGGCAAGTGGTGTCTTGTATGTTGTTTCTAGATAAATGTACACAGTGCTAGTAGGAACTTTCTGCAGTTCCCATGTTGTGGAAATCCATGGCAGGGAAGTTACAATAATTTAACAGCTGGGCATGATCACTGTGAACAAATGGAGTTTATTACTGGCTTTATAAAAGCACTGTGAATAGGTCAAGAGCATCACTTTCTCCACCCAGATATACTGACTATACAAATTACCAGGGATAAAATGGAATTAAACAAGACCTACAAGTCTCATTAGACATCTCACAACTTGTTCAAAAGGTAACATAAAGACGCAACATGTTTTGGCTTCTTTTAGTCTGCATGTGTTAAGACTGGCTTGAGCAAGTGTAGCACAATAGCTTTTCTTTTGGAAGGCTGAGAGTAACTGGCCTTTCACAAGCTTTCTGTTTTGAAGAGTTGAATGCAGTTTCTGAGTTAACTAATCACACTGTAATTAGCAAAAGGTAATGCACACTCGCACACAGAGAAACTGGAACACAAATCTCATTAATCAATTCATTAACTCATTTTTCATGAAAAGAAGGAGGAAAAAATGTCTAGTGTTATGAATAGAAATAAAGACAGAATCAAGGCTGCAACACAGTAATAAAAGGCTGCAAATCACTGGCCTCAGTTTTGTTTTCATCAAAGTCAATAGCAGCATATGATGAAGGTAGGAGTGGGCTGTAAGAAAGTAGAAATTTTCTCTGCTGAGACTGAATTGAAGTTAGCTCCGTCAGTATTTGAATGAATGGGGAATTACAGTTTTCACAGGCACTTCATGTTTGCTGATCGTTAAATGTTCTCACAAGGAATTACATGGGCAGAATATAGCAAGAGCTAAAATGATCGGTGTTTTCTGTCATTGCTATCAATGTCATTACCTTCCTTGCCAAACAACTGTTCCTAAAAGCTGTGTTGGGTATTTTAGCAAATAGTCTCAAGCAAGCACAGAATGGCTGCCTAGGCTAATAGTTGCTTAGTTCTGCTCTTCTCTGTAATTCCAGAAAAACTTGATACAGAGCACAGATGTTCTCAGAACTGAAACCTTCTTTCCACCTGGTCCTCTAATCTTGCTTTTGGTGCCTTTCATATTTTCTTCATATTTTAAATTGAAGCTTCATCCACAGAAACCCTCATCATTCTGGCCCAACTGTTAGCTAGGCTCCTAAAAATCTTCTTGGTAGTTCATTACTTTCTTTTGTCTTGATTAATCTAAGTTAAGAGCAATTGACTTGACAACTGACTTGATATGCATCAAGTCTCTGTATCCAGAGAAAGCTTTCGACACAGTGGTGTGGAAATCATCTACTAATAAGGTTCATGTTGTCTTTTCAGTTTTATTTTATTTGCTGGGACAGCAATAGCTGTTTGATATTTATTTCAACCTGAGTGATAATTTTAAGTATTCAAGGTCGCTCTCCTGGGTTACAGGTAATTCAAGATTACTTAAGATTTTGAATTATTATAAAAGATGAATTTACTTAAAAATAGAAACAATTAGGCAGTAGAGCTGCACAGTTTTAATGATGAAACGATCTGTTACTTATACTCTCTACTGGTTTTGATTATTCATTATAGTGGGGGAAGAATAGCATTGGTATTAATGCTATATGCTGTTATTAATCATATTTTTGTTTTAATTTATCCATAATGTCTTCTCCTGTGTGCTCACATTTAGAATATGAAAGTTCAGTGCTCAGTATTGAATACTTAAGCTCACTCTTAGTGAATCACTATCACTTCAAGTACTCTAAAGTTAACTGTAACCGCATTTATTTCAGATCAAGGGTCTGACTTTTCCACTGCTTAGGTTTGTGAAGACTGCACACAATAAAACAAGATTCCTACCGCCTATCCCTTTAGTTACAGTTGTCATTTCCACTCTGAAGGATGTATGAATTTAACCACTGCTGTTATTGTCTCTTTCTAAAAGAATTAAATTTAAGTCTTTTCCCACATGTAAAATAGCTCTTAGGATTCCATATTGCAATTCATTATATATTTTGTTATATGCTGTTAAACAACAGGTTATATAGGAAAGGACTCATAGGGGATGATTGGACATAAAAGAGACATTTTTCTTCCCTTAACAACCTGTAATCCAAAGACTCCTTTCTGCAGCAACCTAGTTGTACCGTGTGGTACAACTTTACTTCAAAGTTTTACTGGTAAAACTTTACCTTTTTTACTTAAAAAAAATAAAACCTCCTAACCCCACTTTACTGTCTTTAAGTGTTGCCAATTGTCCTTAAGTGACAATGTCCCCATTGGGGAGGCTGGGGGACCTTTTTATGATCAGTTCAGGGGAGAAGATGCCATCATATCTAGAAAGGTATCAGGCAGAAAAATGGGTTATAGGCAGGAGTGCAATATTATGGCTGTCTACAAGCATGAATGGCTGATGAGATACTTGTGGGAATTCAGGTGTTAACATTTTAGTCTGTATCAGCTTTGTTGAATATGGTTTTCAACGACTAATAGGCTTTGAGGTAAGCTGAGTTAAACATTGTACAGAATTTTTGGAAGGCAAATGCGAGTCTTCACACTTTGAGCCTTCTGTGTAATAGACTACCATTTTAATCTCATAGAACCAATGCTAATATTAAATATATTCACATCAAGGATCATCACAGGCATCTTGGATGTGGTTGAGCTATAGGAACTTTACTGAACTGAACAATTAAAATATTCTCTTGATGTTACCAAAGAGTATTTCTTTAATACTTTCAGTGTTCGGTATTTTATGAATGTACAGGCATCTGTGACTCTGGCATTAGCTTATGCTGTGACCCTTCAAGAAAATTATGAATTTGCCCAAGCTGCCTGAAGGCACCTTTCATCTTTCCCTAGTGTTAAGTGAGTCACATAGCTCTGTGGCAGCAAACTAGGAGAAACCTAGCAGCAGACACATAGATTGACAGAAAAAATAAAGAAGTATAAAAATATCAAAGAGAGATTTATAAAATGTATGATTTATGAAATAAAATTTAAAAGTATGCATAAAATTGCTCTATATGGTCTCAATTTGTGGAATTAACAGTCTCTGTACTTTACAGATATGGTCAAGTGTTGTTCTTTCATTAGCAACAATAAAATTTAAAAAGCCGAGCAGATTATCTGTATATTTAAACTGAGCAGTTTAGCAGCTGGTCCAGGCTTGTTCTTGTTGAGAGATAGCCTTACATAACAGATCTGATTTGTGCAGCACAATGAAGTTTTGAACTCAGTTTGTTGTTTGCTCCCAGATGAATTTTCCTCTGTTAGACAATATATCATAGTGCCTGCAATTTGCTGACACTCCTGCTCAGGACAAGTTTTCAGTTAGAGAAAAAGCAGAGCACTGTCTGAGAGTTGTGGCAACCCTTGCTGCAGATGTTTCCAGGCATGATAGTTCATATAGCAAATTTTATGCTTTATAAATTATATGGGAAATGCCCATCATTCATTTTAGATTGTTAAACTTGTATGTTATGGAAGCCATAATGGCATCATGGATAAAAGCTATGCCAAGAGGTTGAGAAGAGTCAATGGACTTTTTTTCACTGGATCCTAGAGATGCTAAATACCTTGCACATCTACTGAGGAATGCACATTTTTTGAGCAGTCGTTAAGTTGTCAGAAAGACAGTCTGTGGACATTCAGTCTTTATGATCTTAACATCCTTTTCCACAGTCATTATGCCCTACTGCTGAGTCTGCATATGTGTGAGCATCCTGCATAATCATATTAGAGCTGAAGTTGACTCTGAAAGCTTGTATGAGACAATCCCTTTCCTCCACCTACTCCTTGCCAAACCATAAGGTTTTCTTAAGGTAATAATTAAATAGAATCATTGAATGCTTTGAGTAGGAAGGGATCTTTAAAGATCATCTGGCCCAACCACCCTGCTGTGGGCAGGGACACCCTCCACTAGACCATGTTGCTCCAAGTCCCATACAACCAGGCCCTGAACACTGTCAGGGATGGGACAGCCGCATCTTCTCTGGGTAACCTGTGCAGGGCCTTACTACCCTCACTGTGAAAAAATTCTTCTTTATATCCAATCTAAATCTACCCTACATATGAAGCATTCTCACTGCTATTTGGTATTAGTGATAATAATGCGCAACTTTTGTACATAAAGCACTTTTTATCCACTGGTGTAAGGAGGGGTATGGAGCTTTATTTTCCTCCTTTTTTGCCTAAGGGGGGGGAAAAATCCTCCTGGCTTCTGCAGTTTAAGACACTAAAACTTGCAGATGTGTTGCTTTACTACATTTATATAACTGATGGTTTGTGCTGCTGTTTTAACCATCTAAACTTTAGCCTAACATTGTATGACTGACTTGCTGATTAAAGATATGAAGCAATTCAAATCAGTTTCGTACATTGCTGTTCCCTTTCCCAACTGTCAGTAACTAAATACTATGCCAATATATACCTATATTCATTAATGTTTCCTTTATTTACATTTTCTGATACAATCTATTTCTCTGAGTGACCAAAAGTCTCCTTCTGTGGTGCATAGTGAGGCTGGATGAATGAACAAACCCCTTTGAGAAGTGATATGCCTCTAAAAATACATCATCTTCATTTAACAAAGTTTATTGTGCTGTACATTTGCCCACAGCAATTTCAATATGGTTCTGCTTGATGAGTGTGCATTCATTATCTTATCATAAGTGTAGGTTCATGGATTCGAACCAGACAGAGCTGGTTTGCGAATTCATTGAAGCGATGTATTCACAGAGGGGAAATGCTGCATAATAAAAAGAAACTGGTTGTGGCAATTATGACATTCTAGGAAGAAGGCTTCTTGATATAAAATTTTCCTCAGAGTAGAAAAAGGAAAGAAAATGGGCAGCCCTAGGCTTTGATCAACTTTGAGGAAGAGCTACTTCACAAACCACATATATTGCAAAAGCACAGAATAAACAAAGTCTATGATATTGTAAATCTGACCATGTTTTGTTTCAGTTTTAGTGGCACAAATGCATTTAAGAAAAACTGTGCTGTTTTGTAGAAGTGCAGTAAATAAGAGGTGGCAATTAATGGTGCTGGGCAATCCAGAAGATAGAATGGATGATAACTCCATGCCAGCTGACCCCTGACTGAGCTGGGAGCATAAGCAATGATTAGATATAGAAACTTTTTTTTTTCAGTATGAAGTTTTTGATGTATCACCTGCCTATAACAGAAATTATGCGGACCAGCAAACTGTTACAAGATCTGAGAAGCAGGCTGGCACCATAGGTTGAAAATGCACCCCTGAGTCATTTAAACAGTATGTATACCTCTTACATCTTGAGTGATACGGACTCCAGCCCCTGCCTGCATGTTATCAGCAGGGCAGTATAACTGGGCAGGGGCCCAGGCTTGGTCCTTTCACACTTCATCACAATCTGACGCTTCGTGGGACTCATGTACCTGCAATGGCACATTGATGCCTTCTGGTGTGAAAGCTTTTCAGATGTGCCCTATTTTCGGCACTGCTGCGTGGGTCCCATGTGCTCTCCACATTGCCATCACTCTGGGTTTTTCATCAGAAGTGTTATCTGCCCTGTTGTCTGTCCCTAGGACAAAAAACCCCCAAACACCCTAATGGCCGAATTCTGAGACCTACTCCAGTATACAGTGTCTGCAGATTTAACTGTAGAACAGTGTATTAGCTAGTACTCCTACAATACTGTGTAGTAACTGATGGGTTAAGGTTCATATGTCTGCTGCTCATTTACACTTGCTTTCCATGAACATGCAAAACTTTGAGCCATCTCCATATGGAGACTTGCTAAAGGTGACCTTTCCCTATGAAAGCTTGAATTTTATCAACTACCAAAAGGGGGAAAAAAAATATCGCTCTGTAGATATCTCAGTTATTGAATTAAGCATCCAGTCGGGATGCAGGAATAATGTAATCTGATTTGCATAGTTGCATGTCAGCTCCCTAATTGACTAGCAAAAAACAAACTGGAAACTGCTGTTATTCACAGATCACTATATGATAATGAGCTTACTCTAACCAAGAGTCATTCACCAAAGAAATTGAAAAAATAAATCTAAACAGCAAATGGCATTTGAAAGGTTCTGGAATTCTTAATGTTCATCACAGCTGTCAGAAACAACCACACAGAAGCCCATCCGTGTTTTGAGAACGCTTCTTACAGAGAGCTATATATTCCGAAGTATGCAAACATCTAGTAGTTTCTCATATTCACAGTTTTCTTCCAAAGGCTCCGGTGATGGTAGTAAGATAAAATCATTGTGTCCTGTAGGTGTTTATGATTAATGCCCTTGCCCAAACATAAATATTACTGTGAATAAAACCAAATTAGCTAATACGCAATCATCAAATGGACAATGAACCATCTCTTCCTTTTTTTAATATTCTATTTTCTAGATTTCTAAAGTGACATTCCCTGCCTGTCTGAATTATACTACCAGTACTCAGATCAATGTTTCTGATTTCTGCTGACAGTGTCTGCTCTCTTTTCCCAGCATTTCTCCAAACCCATAGAAGAGCTGGTTGAGGACTAAGATAACTGTAGCTTACAAGACATTCTCGATGGGGATACAGAAATTGCTGTAGCAAGCTGGACTGAATAGGAATTGGCTGTTCTGTTGAGATTCTGATTTATGTGTCTGAGCTAGTTATTCTCATCTTTAATTTTATATTGCAAAGTGCTGGGTTTTACACAGGCAAATCTAGGGTGTCTGAGTGCTATTTTTGGTCTATATAAATCTCTTGCACATTCATTGTCCTATATATAATTTATCTGAGGTGGTGTGGTAGCAGTCCATGATTTAACTGTGGGCATTACGTTGCTTTTACATGAGGGTAATTTTTCTTTTATTCTTCTTTAGCTTCTGTAAAGACAGCCGTAATGATTTTTTTGTTAGTCAAGGATTCTTTTTGCCTGCATACCTCAAATAAGTGTTCTAACAGACTCTCAAGCATCACTACATCACTTGGACTTTCTCCAAATTCTAAACTTTAACTGCATTTTTCTGTTTCTTCCATACATATGCTTAAACACTTCCCTGAGCCTGCTATGAAGCTAGAAAGATACCTACAAGGTGGCGTGTCAAAGGTGAGCAAACAGCTCCATAACACTTTTCACTTTGATTTTGGCAGCATTTCAAGAAAGTGCAGCAGTCAACACATTTTACTTGCCATATTAGAATGTGATTGCATTGCTTAGTCATCTTCTGTACAGACCTGGCAATTGAAAAGTGCCCTAGACTCCTGTCACAAGACACAGCAAACTGTGTGCAGTCAGTAGGTCTAGGTTGTCACTCACTTTTATGCAGAGAAAAATACAGCTTTGAAAGATTACTCTTTAAACCTAGCTTCCTTTTGTACACCTGAAACTAGCTGCAAACAGCTATCGGGATGCACTAAACAATTGTTAGATTAAATCTCTTACAGTTTTCATTTATTGTAGCTAATTTCTCAGTTAACACTATGCAGCTAGTAATTCTTGTAAGTGCTAATTTAATTGGTCCTAATTTAGAACCAGAAGAAAAAAGGTACCTACAACTTTAATGATTTTCCTGTTGCCACCAGTGGACCCAAGTGAGAAAGCCAGGTTTAGAAGATCTGGTTACTAACTCATTCTAAAATTCCGTCCACCAAATCAAGCAAGTGAATATTTGATAAATGACGTGCACTATGATATGAAGTCATACAGCGAGTGCTCAGTCTCCATAAAAAAAGAGGATGCAGCATTAGCTATAGCTAGAAGTAAAACCTTATGGTTGTTACCAGTACACACAAATATTGTATGAACAAATACTATAAATAACTGAGATCCACAAGAATAATAGGCAGTGTTTTACTGAAACTTACTTTTTCATGGATCATTTGTGTATTGAATTCCTGACATGAACATCACTCTTGAAGAGATTGTAATAGTATGTCTCAAGCTCATCAGATATAGATAAATACTTGTCTCTTAAAAATTATTGCAATAAACCAAAAAATTATTTATAAAAAATTTAAGCTAATTACAGTTTCACAACCAAAACGTTTGAAAAGATACTTTACTTTTGACCATTTAATGTGATTATTTTGAGTTATATCTCTGGCTTGAATTGCTGACAAAATAGGAGCAAGCATGATGTGATGGATAGGATCTGCCACATTAATAAGTAAAAACCTGGAAAAAAGTAACTTGACATTTGAAGAAGGGGAGAAAATGTCAAGAAATAATTATTTTTATTTAGTATTGCTGGTGGGAAACTTACTGTTCCTAGTCAGGTCTGGGACACTTCATACAATCTGTCTAGTTTCCATACATTAAATAAGATATAATCAATAATAACAACTTACATATGAATGCCCCCCCACTTCACCCCCCTTTGTCCCCTGCACCCCAGCTGAGCTGTTTCTCAGTGGGATTCCTTGCTCTGAACCATTTTACTGCAAGTCAGCCTTAGTCCTTTACTTTTTTATATGTGCTTGGGAAGACTGATAAAGGGGATTACTAATGTGCCTTCACTAACTGGACTGGAAAACTTATTTTTTCCATTTCATCTTGGTAAAATGCTACCTTAAGAGACTACAGACTCCTTAAACACTGCTCATTATTCATGGTGTATTTGATACAAAATGGGTATCTTGGACCAAAGCCCAAGGCCAGTTACAGCTGCCTCTGCAAAATGAAGTGCTCTTAAATCCTGTTCACTTAAACAGTGAAGTATTCTTTATGCAGTGGGTTCCTGTGTCCTAAGCATCACTTAGCCTTTCCTGCATCAGGCTTCACCCATTACCCCAAGTCTTCCTGGTGTAAGGGGTGATGGCAGGGAGCCTGTCTGACCTCTGTCACTCATTGGT